AACAAATGATCACTCTCCAGATCACCACCATCTTTGCCTATCACTGTTATCACTGTTATCACTGTTACTGTCAGGGTCCCGGTCTGTTGCTTTATACTAAACCCAGCTCTATAGTAGGGTAATGTTAATCAAGTTGGGCGACAGGCAATGAGTACAAACATGTTGGGCATTGTAGGGCATGTGACTGCCAAAGGCCTGCTGTGCTTGCATAGCTCATGTGGTTTGTACCTGAGCACTTTACAGCGACGTGTCCTTCATCTTTTGCTGGTGCCTATATTCAGGCTGGTACGCAGAAAGGGAGATGCAAGTGTTCATACCAGAGTGGATTTGGTCTAGTGAAACAGTGAGCATCCAAATAGAGTTGTTGGATTTAAGGGCATAACTGTATACTTAAATGCTTTGGTAGACAAGGGCTGCAGCAAGACCAGACTCAATGTATTAGGTTGACAAAACACATTGTACCTATGCACGTTATACCTATTTGAACATAGCCTTCTGATTGTTTTTAGTAAAGCTTTCTTAAAATTTTAATGTTGTCTTAAATGGCATATAAAGTTTGAAGTGACTTGAATTATAATGTTTCAAACAAAAAAAAAATGTATATTGGCTATTCAGTAAATTCAAGGTACATTTACACGTCAGTATTCAGTGAATTTATGTGATAAAATCTGAGGCTATAAATGTGAGATGAACGAACGTCTGACTGAGCAGCCCTGTTTCTGCCAAAAGCGTTCTTCTGTGTATTGAAGGGGATGAAATGAAAAGCGCTGTGGTGGAGAGAGCTTCCTGCTGCACTTCTGGTAGCTGTCTGCCTTAGATGCTTCTGCAGCTGTTTTCCTTTGGAGCCTTTCCAGAGAAAGTCATTGCTGATCCAGGAAATGTGTTGTTCCATTAAATTTCATGGCTATCTTATGTTGCATCACATTTAGCTCTATCATGAATAAACACTTGCTCAAATCCACGTAGGATGTAATCCTGTTGTGTCAGTGAAATTAATTCTTGATGCATCCCTGCCCCCTCCAGTGTTGCATCCTGAAGTCTGAGGCACTGGAATGTCCTGGATGCGCTGCTTGCAGAGCTGAATGCACCTGTAGCCCAGTGCAAATGATGGAGCAGATTTACCATGGGAAGACAGCATAGCCTGTCACTGTGCAGCCTGCAGGCCCTTTGGCTGTGGGACTTCTGGCACTGCAGGGGGTCCCACGGCTGCCAGGAGCAACTGTAGCACCAGCCAGTGGCTTCCAGATGTGTGGTGAAGGCCTCCTTTTGTGCCTGTTTCCTGTGGCAAGAGCCATCCCTGTGGGTCCCAAGTGGTGACTCGGGTGAACGCTGTGCACCAGTTAGAGGAGGTTAGATCATCTAGGTGGATGATCTCACTAGTTATCACTGGTATGCATGTAGATTTCCACTGAAGAGTGGGAATGGTGCTTCTGGCTGGTGTGCAATGGGACACAAGGTCTCTCTGTGTCAATCCAGTTGCAGTTAAGCTCCTATACAAAATTTATTTCCTCCATTCTGAGCAGCTGAAAGGGTAGAAATACGAAAGTTCTGAATTTCTGCTGTGATTGTTACTTTCATCCCCATATTAGGAAGGTATCTGGGAGAGGTGGTGTGTTGTCATGAAACAACTCTGTTTTCTGGAACTAATTTAGTGGTTGAGTACCTCAGATGGGAGAGGGCAGGGGTTTAGAGTTGGGCATTATGAATGTTAATACACTGAGCTGCAGTGGGTTCTATCTGTAACCGTGCATTTCTTGAAGTCAGTGAGATTTTTGTCATTCTGAAGCTTTTTTTGTTTTGTGGGTCTTTTTGTTTGTTTGTTTTTAACATAGTGCTAACATTCTTCCTTTCTCCTTCCTTCCTTTCAAAATCTGTTGTTTCTTCAAGCTCACTTTACTGTGTGAAAACCAATGGAGGCATTCTGCAAATTCTCAGCTGTTAAGCTGTGTGTGGTTTTTCCAGAATGGGCTATAGGTGCAGGGATTCACAGGCTGAGGATTTAATAGTGAGGAATGGATGGGGTTGTGAAAGGTCCCTGCTCTTTCTTCCTCTTTCCTTTTCATCCACTTCCATTTCCAGAGTGATTAATCTGTGTATTAAACAGGAGATCATCCTGAAAAGCTGTGTCAGGCACGCAAGTCATCCCACTTTTGGAGGGGTAACTTGTGCTGTCATTTAGGTCATTGCTACGTGCCCTTTTGCAGTGTAGAAGCATTTATCACAGGTTTTTCATGTACTGTCACTCCTAAACATATTAATAGAGAGCAGGCACCATCTCCAGATGCCAGATTTACTTCCTTTGAGACTTAGCAAGTACTGTGTGTGCTTATATCATATGTGAAACTTTCTGATAGCTGATAACTGAACCTGGAAAACAATCTGTGAAGTTACTGCTGTAAGTAGAGTTTTGGTTATGGTATGGGACAAGTTACAGATAATTATATTTGAGAGATAAATACAGTGCTTTTTAACGGTGCCATAAAAACTTGTTATGTACTCAGAGACTTTAATCAAGTTTTATAAAATAGGCACGTGCTTATTTGTAAAGTAAATTGCAAGAAAGTAATTTCAAGAGCAGTCCCCAATGAACCAGAAGTCTGTGGTAACAGCTGCTGAAAGTAAGAAGTTGCTCAAGGCTCCCTCTAGGCTGACTGTAGGAAGGTTTCTTTGCTATATGACTTAATTTGCAAGTGGAGAGCTGGGAAGGAAGGGCTGTGACAGGTGACTGGTATGGTCCCTTTTCTTATGCAATAAAGGTTGGAGTACAAGTGCAGTAGGCATTACTTCTGCAAGAGTTTTATGCTGGTTTTGATTCCAGAAGTTTTAAGAAAGAAGACGAAGTGCCAAATGTAAGCTCTATGTCAGCAGGAAGTATCCTTAATAAATCAAAGAACAAATAGTTTTGAAATAAATGTTTTTATTGAAGGTAACTATGGATGGATGGCAAATACACAACCATTTTTCAAAGGGTCTCCAGGCAATCAGTGAGATAATTCATCAGTGTTGATAGGAAGAAGGGAGAGGGTAAAATCCTCCTTAAGTTTTAACATGCCAGGGTGAATTAACAATATTTTCTGTGTGAGTTTTATTATTTGGCAAGATCCACTATGATTAAATCTCAAAAGACTGTTTTTTTTGGGGGGGCTGTTTCTTTTAAAGTTGCATTTATTTATAATAAATATATACAGCTGACATATATAATACAGTTTGTTAGCAAAACAAACAAACAAAAAAAAACCCTAACTATCTCCCCACCCTCCAAAGGGGAAAGAAAAAAAGCCATATCAAACCATGTATGGTTTTGATTTGTGAAATGTTTGTAACTGCTTGCTAAGCAAGCATTGCTAGAAGTCTGTGTAGCTGTGAAGGCAGCCACTTGCTTGTCAGAACTCGGAGTACTCGTGTTCATCACAAGAATGAACAGAAAAGAGCTGACCTGGACTCTCTCAGCAATCCTCTTTTGAAGTCAGGGCATCTTCTGCACAATATTTTTCCCCTTTATATAATTGTATCTATTTATGTTTTCTTACTACTTACCATGCAGTGAGGAGTATTCTTATACTATAAATCAGGTATGGGTATGGAAGTATAACAACCTAATTTAACTCACTTAATAACTAGTTAACAAAACACTTGCTTAAATCACTGCAAAAACACCTTATATTTCATTGAGAATGTGAGTTCTTTACATTATTCACTTTAAAAAAAAAAAAGAAAAAAGACGTTTTTATACTTATGTGATTTGCTTGGACAAAAGTCATGGACAAAAGTCAACACCAGATAATTTTTAAGATGTTAAAACCTGAGAACAAATGCACAAACCAAAATAAATAAATGACCCCATTTTATGAAAGAGAACTGTAATGGGAACCAGACTCGTATCCAGTGAGCCTCCAGATACAGTCCATGCTTGCTTTGAAACTGTAATCACTGTCTGGCTATGTATGTGGGACAAACAGGAACATGTCTGCATTGTGAGATAATGCTTTTGGATTTGCTCTGCAGCGCTTGGATCTAGAGCTCACCCCTCAGCTCGTGCCCACCTTGTCCCTCTGTATCCCAAGCCCATTGCTTGAACTGATGGTGAAGGTTTTGTGAGGTCTTCATAGTTTTGGCTGTGTTGTTTTTTTTTTTTTCTTCTTGCCCTTTAGTGAGGGAATGTGAGTGTTGTTGAGCTTCCAAGGCTGTTTCTAGGCAGACTTTAGTAATCAAGCAGGAAAATGTAAACATATTTGGATTTTAATTAGTAGTTTTCTGGAAATGGTTTGCTTGTTAATCTGTGAAAACTCACAGCTGTCAGCTAAAATTTAGGTGAGAATTCTCTTTAATGGTTGCATTTTTTCTTCTGAGAATGCTCACATTCAGACTAAAGCCCCTAAGAGGTGATTGTCTTAATGGTAAGGATGTCGGCCACTGCATGAAATGGAATAAGGTTTGCCACATTCCCCACCTCTGGTGAAGAAGGACAAGCCTACTGAGTTCCCTTGACATACCCCTGCCTTACAGCAGCGGATGAACCAAGCTCTTCTGTTCAGGATATTTCCTCATTTGGAGGAGGGTAACAGATACAGTAAGACTGCCACCTGAACTAGCAGCTCCAGCAAATGTGCACCAATTCCTTCTTACTAAATAAATAAAACCTACATCAAGGCTGCTCATTTCTGTTCCATTTTATGTAGGTGTAATATTATTTACTGCAAACACTTCTGAAACGCTGAATGTAACTGAGAGATATTCAAGCAGATTCTAAGAGGTGTTTGGCTTTCTGTAGTTCCTTCTTTTTGTCAGATGTTCTTACATCTGCATGAAGAAATTCATTCTCCTTTGTAAACTGTTTAAATGCCCCATGCAAACAAAATTTATTTCATTTATAGTCCACTTGAAGACATTTTTGATAGCATGAATCTGACCAAATATGAAGTCATAACAATAGAATAAGTTAGAGATGATTGAGAAATCAGTACCAAATCCTGTGTAAAACTTCCTCTTTTCTCTGGTAGTGTTTAATTATTGGAGGTGGCCCATGTGGCTTGCGGACTGCCATAGAACTTGCCTTCCTGGGAGCCAAAGTTGTCGTCGTAGAGAAGCGGGACACTTTTTCAAGAAACAATGTGTTGCATCTCTGGCCGTTTACAATCCATGACCTCCGGGGACTGGGAGCAAAGAAATTCTATGGGAAATTCTGTGCAGGATCCATTGATCACATCAGTAAGTACCTAAGGATATGGACTGTGTTCAGATAAAAGAGATGTGGAGATCAGATTAACGGAGACTTTCTCTGCTTGACTTTATCTACCATAAACATGTGTGCATGTTAAGGAGAGAGAATAAAAGGTTTCATTTAAGCAAAATGGCAGTTGGACAAATGACAGTCTTATGGAGCACTTTGTTTAGTCTGGACTTCTTAAGCAATAGGTTTTTATTACAGCTGTACGTAGAATCTTGATGTTCATTCTAGTATGCTAAAGGTAGATGCAGCTCCTAATGAGAAGATAGGTGTAAGTGTGGTATTTCACAGGGATATATTTTTGTGCTGTAAATTTTTTTTCTTCAGGTGGTTAGCATATTGGGTATATAAGTACTCTAAATATTGTTAAAAAGGCAAGCTTTAATATTTTTTTTTAAGAAGATCATGGAAATCAGTTTTATAACCTATGAGACTGGAAAATGAGAAACAAGAGAACAACGTCCTGTGGTGGTTGCTACATTTGAATTTGCCACAATATGGGAAATGAGTGCTATATGTTATTGTTAACAATGAATATCAGCTGGACAGCACTTGTATTTGCTTATGCATTAAATATATCTTTGCTTCTTGCTATTTATAGGTATTCGACAACTTCAGCTTATCCTTTTCAAAGTTGCACTTATGCTAGGAGTTGAAATCCATGTGAATCTAGAATTTGTGAAAGTCCTGGAACCCCCTGAAGATCAGGAAAATCAAAGTATGGTTTATCATAATGTGATTCTTTACAGAGTAACTTCATGTCAGGTCTTAGGAGAAATCTAGTCAAGGTAGTTGAATTCTGCTTAAAGGAATTGGAATCTTTTGCCCTTCTTTTTTTAGCCAGGTTTGCTGTCTGCAGCTGTAGGCATAGTAAGTATTGTTGTGACAATGCTCTGATAATTCCAGCTTTAAGAGTTGAGGTTTTGCACTGTGCCTTCTGGCATACATTTGAGGCTTTGTAGGGAGTCTGGTGTGGCTTTATGGTATCTTCTTGCAAAAACAATTTTTGATTGATAATACAAATACAGAGAATGGATGAAGCACTCTGGGCCTCATTTTGCTTTCACATTTGATACAACTCCCACTTGCTCACAGTCTTATCAGTCATCTTATGCAAGATTTTTTCTATGAAATAAAGAAAAAATCTCTCTATATATTACTATTTAAGGAGTAGTAGCAATAGAATATTTTTAAATTTTACTTCATTAGAATACTATGCTATTCCTCTGTAAATGCTCATGTGCCAATACTAGAACAAATAAATTGTTAAAAGTACTCGAAGCCTATTATATATCTCATAAGTGTTGGCAATACTAATACTTTTAGTCAAACAATTTTAACTTAATGCAAGCATGAAATTCAGCTTCATTACTTTGGTTAAATTGCCATTTAGGAGAGAGAATTAAAAGTATTGATGTGAGGAGGCTATCATTCTTTTAAAACCCATCTTTTCCTGTTAGCATGTATATGTGCTCCCTTAATAAAGTAGTTGTGAGACTATTTTTGTGAGCGTGTACTTGTGATATGGGCCTTAGAGGAAGTTTTGTGCTTCAGGCAATCCAAGTAAAGGCATTCTTTTTATGTTGACAGCTTATGAGCTCGACATATTGCTTAATGCAGTTTTTTCCCTGCATTGATCTGATGCAGAATGCAAATCCGTTTGAATGAGAAATAGATTACTTATCCTGATACCTTTTCTTCAGACTGAAAACCCGACTGTATTTCTGAGTAAATATTATTCTTTGATTCTTTGTGGTTTTAGAGATAGGTTGGAGGGCTGAGTTTCTCCCTGTGGATCACCCTTTGTCAGAGTATGAATTTGATGTTATTATTGGTGCAGATGGCCGCAGAAACACATTAGAAGGTAGGTGAATGTCTGCTTTTAGCCATGTTGTTTTTTTCTGTTAGGTATATTGGAAGATCTGGAAGTGAAGAGAGCAAAAAGCAACATGCTGCCTTTAAATCCACTGATGTCTGAGAAAACAAGTTTTTTTTATGTGCCATGTTCTACTTCTGTTGTTAAGTTGTGGCTCAAAATAAAGATACTTAAATGTTGTGACTGATTCTCAGCACTGTCTGTATCTGCTTTGCCTCCAGAATATAGCAGAATATACCAGAACACCTTCAGTGTTAGGTAATCGTATGGTTATTTAACTTAAAGAGGGCTGACAAGATGCATGTCAGAAATTGCATTGTCTTTGCTATTGTGCCATAGCCTTGGCTATAAGCTTGAGCTAATGACCAAAAGGTGACTGACAGGTATTTAATGAAGGCATCAGAGGTGTAAGTCCTGTGTAAAGATGATTTAACTTGAGAAGCAGTTAATTTGGAAACAATTTGAAAAGATAATAAATTATTGAAAGGGGGGGGATGCGTTTAATGGTCCTGAGTCAGTGCTGAGACTGTAGGCTGCCTGAGCTCTTTGTTAGTGAGACACTACTTAAGCTGCTGCTGTATCACACAGACAAGCTTGTTACCTAATTATATGCCTTCCTTGTAGCTTTAATTATATCCATATTAATTTAAGTTAAGTAAATACTCCATTTCCTTTTTTTTCCATTAGCTTTGTAATAGATATGGGCTTTTTTTTTCTTATATCTGTCAAATGCAGTATGCTGAGAGTTAACTCCTTCTGCTGTCTTTTATTACAAAAATCTTCACATTTTTCTGGCTATCTCCTGTGAAGGATTATTTAAGTAGTCAGGTGTCAGCAAAATAAAATTATTCTTACCTCAGCTGCAGACTCAACTGAGAAGCTGATAGTTATCATTGTAACAGGATCTGAGGGAATATTTCATGCACTGAAGATTATTTACATACAGAAGCTGGTATTTTCATGTTAAACTTATTCCAGTGAAATCTTTAGAATGTATCAAGACACACTCTGAGAAAAATCATAGCTGATTTCTTAATAGAAATGCATGTATTCTCTGTCAAGTCGTGTGCAATTAGTGAAAAATACAGAATCTGTCCTACTTCACAATTTCCTTATGTATAAAGGGAATACACAAACAAAAACTGGATGTGTAATTGCACGATGGGTGCTTAGCAGGTGTTTTTGTGGAAGAAAGTAGGATGAAGTAAGAATGCAAGTAACTTTGCTTGTTGGAAATAAGTTACTGAATATTTTTCAACCCCTAAAATCTTTGAAAAACTGCATTAGTTTTTAGTGTGTGCAGCTAAGCCCTGTTATAGAGATTTCTGTTTTCTCAGATGCTGTTTTTGACTAATGATTTTTGCATGTTTTTTCATGAACTGATTACTGCCCATCTAACATACATCACATTTGTTATTCGGCAGGTTAAAAATGTTTCCCTCCAATAAATTTATCTGCACCGTTCCCAGTTTGTCTTCATTCACCCCTTGTCTTTAACTTCTCATGTTCAACTTCTTCCCCTAGCTCCCCTTCAGACTTCAGTAGGTTGTTTTCTCTTAGTTTGTTTTTAAAACAAGACTTTATCTTGAATACAGTACAATTCCACTTTTGCAGCTGGGACTTGGGGGGAGAAAAGACTTTGCATTCAAGGGAATTTAAGATGGAATGTGCTGATTGTGTTGTTTGATGAAATACTGGTTTAGACCAAGTATTCTTCAGCTGGCCTTCAGTCATATTCTTATGTGAAGTTTTCAGTGTTTTTATTTATTTGCTTTGCTTACCAGGTTTTAGGAGAAAGGAGTTTCGTGGAAAGCTAGCTATAGCTATCACTGCCAATTTTATAAACAGAAATACAACTGCAGAAGCCAAAGTAGAAGAAATTAGTGGTGTTGCTTTCATCTTCAATCAGAAGTTCTTCCAAGACCTTAAAGAGGAAACAGGTGGAGAATATTTCTATTAGCATCAATTTGAATACATTTCATTAAAAAACAAATGATAAAGTGCTGATGATGTCATAATCTTGCCAAGGGAAGTTATGTATGTTTATGATGTGGTGGGATTTTCTTTTTAGCTTAGGTGTTGCTGCACTGTTGTTTCTTTTGGGGTTTAAATTTTTTTCAACTGTTTAAAAAAAAGAAAAACAAAAAAAAAAAGCCATGTCCAACAACTTGAGAAGAGCTTTTTCAGTGCCCAAAGATTTCCCTTAAGGCATGATTTGTTTTGTTTGTGTCTGTTCACATACTGAATGGCTTAAACCCTGTGAAAAAGGTATTGCCCTTCTAGGAGGGGTTTGTTCTTCTTTTTGATGTGCAGATCTGATAAAGTGCCATAAATATTTGAATGTAAACAGTGAAACACATCTGTATGAAAAGAGATTTCAGAAGAGTTGCATCCCTTGGAAGTACAAACAATTCCATTCTTACAGCTAATTTATTATTAATATTGCTATCGTAACAACATCAAAACTTCTGGTTAGACCCAAAGCCAGAAGTCTAGCAACCTAGAAAGCATATTGTTCCTTTTATTTCTCTTTCTCACCCCTAGAAGATTCATCATAGAATTACAGAGTGGCTTGAGTTGGAAGGGAACTCAAAAATTGCCTGGTTCCAAACCCTCTGCTTTGGGCAGGGTTGCCAACCACTGAATCAGACACTAGATCAGGCTACCTAGAGCCCCATTCAACCTGGCCTTGAGCACCTCCAGGAACAGAGCATGCACAACCACTCTGGGTAAACTGTTCCAGTTTACATCACCGGTCCTTCAGTGAAAAACTTCCCCCAACATCTGATCTGAATCTCCTCCCTTTTAGTCTAAAACTGTTCCCCTTTGTCCTATCAAACATCCTATCAATAAGGTTGTAATTAACTGGCTTTTCCTTAGTAGAATGCTAAATATCTTTGAATTACGTGAAGACAAACTCTTGTTGGGTAAGGCCAATCTCCTTGGGAAAGTGAATGTGTTCCAAGAAGAAACTTATAGGTCTCACTATAGTATATTGTTAGTAAATGACAGAAAATGCCTTGTGCTTTGTAACAAGTGTATTCTCTTTCAGGAATTGACCTGGAGAATATTGTTTACTACAAAGATAGCACACATTATTTTGTGATGACGGCAAAAAAACAGAGTCTTCTGGACAAAGGAGTGATTATAAATGTATGTAAAAATTCTGGGTAAAGCTTTACTTGGCACATAATAACTGTGAACATCTGCATAAATGTTATTCCGTATTATAGAAGGTGTTTACAGGCTTATTAGGTCACCTGATTAAAGCTCAGCTCACTTAGACCTTACTCTGTTGACTGTTCTTGTTGTTGTTCTTCCTATTAGCACAAAGTTTCTATACAGAGCTGGAAATTATACTTGCTAAATTTCTCACTTGTGAGACCAACAAAAATGGGATTTTCATTCAGCTTAGAAACGTATGGCGTTGTCATCACCTCAAAAAAATAAGAATCTCATTGACTTTAAGGTTAACCTCGCACAACTATGTCCAGCTTCATCAGACAAACAAGGAAGTGTTATAATCTACCCCATGTTAAGTTGCAGATTCTCCGAAGTTGATAAAACCTGCTAGAACAAGTGTGTCAACACGAGGGCATGAGCTTTCAAAAATTCCTGGAAATTTCTGAGGCCTTTTGAAAAACAGTGTTTTTTTCCTTTTATTTATTTTTTTTGTTCTATAAAGGAAAGAGGTTGTTTTCCTTTGTTTCTAGAAAGTGTTCTGGCACTACTTAAGGCACTACTTAGATTTCTCTTCCTGGAAGTGCAATAGTAGGCAACTTTTCTTGTGAAGTGAGACAATGCCAAAACAGTCAATTATAATTTCCCATAGGAAGTGCCTGTAGGGAACTGTCGGAAGACTTCTTTCTGATGGGACCACTTAACTCAGTGCTACAATTTTCAGACTTTTTGGAGGATGCAGCCACAGTGGTTGCCTCAGAGGTGACGGGACAGTGGTGGGTGGCCCCTGGAGCTAAGAGGCTGATGTCTGCAGGTGGGTGGGATGGGGCATTTAAGGAAGAGGACCTGTGGGTGTAGCCTGGCAGTCATCTTCCTGAGTCTCTCACATCTGAGCAAAGAGAACAATCTGCTGAAAGACAGCTAGGCTCACAGCCATTCTGTGGCATCATCCTTGTGATTAGGGGTCTCATCCGTGATTAAGCTGTAAATAGAAACTGCCTTATTAATAATCTTTGGCTTTAAATAGAGTGACCTGTAAAGGGAATGTCTGTTATCACACTGACTGGAAAAACAGACAGACAAAAAAAGAAAAAGCAAAATCAACCCAAGACAAGAACAGAAAAATTCTGTGGTCCAAGTTTGAGTGTGTGGACGTAACTGAGCTGTTAAGTCAGACCTTCAGGTTGAGACTAGCATGTTAACCTAATTGTTTCGAAACCTATATTTGTGTACTTCTGAGAGATCATGATAAATTTCCTTTGGTTCTTTAAGCCAGGAGATGTACATTCCACTCTGATGCTATGAGACTCCGTTTCAGAGAGTTTAGATGGAGTATGTAATCCTTCACCTCTCTCTCTTGCAGGACTATATTGATACTGAGTTACTCCTCTGTGGGGAGAATGTGAACCAGAGCAATTTGCTGTCCTACGCTCGAGAAGCTGCTGACTTCGCAACCAACTATCAGCTTCCTTCCTTGGATTTTGCAATTAATCACTATGGGCAACCAGATGTAGCAATGTTTGATTTTACATCTATGTATGCATCTGAGAATGCTGCACTGGTGAGAGAAAGGCACAGACATCAGCTCCTGGTTGCACTTGTTGGAGACAGTTTACTTGAGGTATATCTAGGCTTATTTTTCAAATACTTTTTTTAATCCATCCATTTTTATCTCCCTTCTCAAAAAGTTTTTGTATTCCCTTCCATGTCCTGAAACAAATGTACCTTTCTTGGAGTAGACGTTTTATTCTTTTCTTTTTAAATGCCATAGTTTATGTCATAACTAATGCTTGGCTGGTAGTCCCTGTCTGGGTTCTGTTTTGCTTTGTGCATGTTGTATTTCTGTCTGAAAACTGTGAGCTGTGTGTCCTCAGCTTAGGTGCACAGTATAACTCTCCTGATCTCAGTCAAAGGGGAAAACTTAGTCTCTTTGCTCTTGCAGTCTCTTTGCTTCAGTATGTTTTCTCTCTTAAGTGTGTGTTAAAGCTAATGGATACATTTGTTCTATTATTATTATTTTTAACCAAACTGACAGCCTGAAGTGTTTGAGAAGACAACATTTCCAAATGAGAGGAAAGAAAAAAAAGCATAATTCCCACCCCACCATACCCTGCCCCACCACCTTTCCAAAAAAAAAAAAAAAAAGCTGACTGATTTTTGACTACTCACTTTTTTTTTCAAGGCCTTACTTCTTGAGGTTAAGAAGTCAGTTTTTCAATGTACAAGTTACCAAAAAAAAAAAAAGTGAAAGCACAGTCTTCTTCATTATCTGAGACTTAGAGAAACCTCTAAAAACTGTAAGAGTTGGCTGTGCTGTATTTTAACTCCTTCCAGGCTGCTTTTCTAAGACAGTATGAAACCTTAGGCTCCAAATTCATATTGTAAGTTAGTTCTGTAATAAAATCTGAAGAAATACAAAGAGTGAAAATGTAAATGTTTCTTACAGCCTTTCTGGCCAATGGGTACTGGCTGTGCAAGAGGCTTCTTAGCTGCTTTTGATACCGCTTGGATGGTGCGAAGTTGGGCTCAAGGAAAACCCCCACTAGAAATCCTTGCTGAAAGGTGAGCTCTGCTTTTGTCATCTTCATTTTCAGAGTGTATTAAGGCGTTGCTGTGTTGGTTGAAGACAGTGGAAGATAAAACATCATCTGGATAAAAATTTTGTTTCTCTGCAATGGCGTTCAGTTGAAATTATCCATTCTTTTAAGTAACTAAAAGTGGCAGTAGGCTGTTGCTTCACAAGCTTCTGTACACTGATTCAGAGATCCAGCAGCATGCATGGCATGGGTCTAAATAATTAATTTAAATTATGAATGACTAGATTTAAGTATAAGCTTTGAGTGGGAAAAATCTTTATCTTTAAACTTGTAGTTTAACAACTACAAGTTGCCCACAGAAGTTGTGGATGCCTCAGTCCTGGAGGTGTTCAAGGCCAGATTGGATGGAGCCCTGGGAAGCCTGATCTAGTGAATGGCAGCCCTGCCCCTGTCAGAGGTGTTGGAGCTCTGTCATCTTGAAGCTCCTTTACAACCGAAACCAACCATCCTATGATTCTATGAACTTATGAAAAGAACTAACTCTCCAAGCATCTCAGCACCTGCGTTTTGTGTTTGTTGTTATGGTGTGTTTTGCTATTGAAATTAAAAAAAAAAAAAAGATGTTCATTACTGAAACAATTGTAAACAAATACTTTAAAGCCAGCAGCTTTCATTATTAGTATCTGTGATTTTAACTTTGCATTTTGGCTTAGTCATTTGCCCTCTCTATTTAGTCTGATAAATCTGTGCAAAGATGAATTGCTGTTATGCTGAATCATAAGCTTCTTTGTGTAATGACTTCTTGATCAGAGCAAAAACCTGTTGTTAACTACACCAGTAATCCTGGTGTGGCAATGGTCTGATGGTTGAAGTTGCTGACTTCGGTGCTGACAGCAGCTGCCCTGCTCTCCTGCAGCTGCCCAAGCTTTTTAGGGGCAGATAGACTATAGAAATAGTCATGGTTGTGGTAATGCAAGTAGGAGCATTACAAACTACAGTGCTTTGAGGATTTTTAAGATAGAAACGTGTGTGATGACTCAAACAGTTCATGGTCCCCAGTGGAAAATTGAACAGCATAATAAAAAAGGCTGTGGTGGTTATAGGAATACAGAATGACGGGTTTTTGTGCTGTTATGTGGTAAAGAAGTTACTCCTTGGGTGGAGGTTAAAGCAAAACCAGATGACTGTATGATGTAACCTTCTTTTTTTAAGTTGTTCTTCTTGCTCTCTTCCTGCCTCAGGAAAATATGGGCATGAGTTCTAAAAGTCTGTCTTTCTATTGACCTTTTTTCTGTCTGGCATCCTTTTCCTGCTGAGCAGGGGTAAGAAATGGGATGGATGCATTATGCAGTTAGTGCATAACACTTGTCCAGGCAGAATCAAAATAAAGGTGCAGGTATCTACAAAAAAAAAACCAAACCAAAACAAAACAAAAAAAACTTTTTATATAATGAATACATTATAATCAATATATTTTACATCTTTTTTTTTTCTTTGTAAGGGAGAGTATTTATCGACTCTTGCCTCAGACTACCCCTGAAAATATTAACAAGAACTTTGACCAGTATACCATTGATCCAGGAACGAGGTACCCAAACTTGAACTCAAGCTGTGTTCGACCTCACCAGGTCAGTACTTAAAAGACTTGCTTGTGAAATCACAGGTGTTTGTTATTTTTGCTGGATTTCTTTTGTCCATAAATGGCCACAAGTAGTACATAAAATCTTCAGGAGACTCCATAGTTTAGATCCAGCTGTTGATAAAGTTAACCGAGAAAGAAGAAAAAATATTTTGCCCTTCCAGCCATTCTAACATTGTGTTACAAATGATTTTAACTTGTAGGTGAAACAATTATACGTTACCAATGAGTTACAGCAATGTTCTCTTGAAAGAGCAAGCTCCATTAGAAGATCAGTGAATCTCTCAAGACGTGGTATGTGGTATCTCATGCTTGTAGTGAAATATTGAAGCTTTCTGAGCATACAAAAAATGATTGAAATATTTGCTCTTTGCTAACTGCAGAGTCAGACATTCGACCTAACAAACTCTTGACCTGGTGTCAGAAACAGACAGAAGGGTACCGTAATGTTAACATCACAGACCTGACTACCTCTTGGAAAAGTGGCCTTGCATTGTGTGCAATTATCCATCGCTTCAGGCCTGACCTCATGTAAGTGACATCTGTAGATTGTAGGCATAGGATGTATCAAGTATTCACCAAAGTATAGCATAAGAGCAGCCAAATACTGGTAGTCTACAATTCTTTTCTATTTGTTTTTGCAAGGAGGTGCACACCATAGCCTGGTTTTGGGGAGTAGGGTTGTTTTTGTTTTGCCTTTTTATTCCCTTGCGTGTCCTTGCATGCTACTTAAAATGAAATGTGCATGTTTTCAAAGAGCTAGGAAGGTTTTGAACCTTATGACTTGTGATTATGTTTGTGGGATTCACGCAGTTACTTAAAATGAAAATTGCAGTGCTTGGAGAATGGTAGGAGTTGTACTCCCAGGTTCCTGAAGACAGGTTTTTAAGGTATGTTTAAAACCACAATTATAATGGTACTGTCAGGAGTTAAAAAAAATACTTGGTTCAGTCTTAAATGAGCTGTCTTTTGCCTGCTGTAGTGGTTACCACGATAGTCTAGGCAAACCCCAGGCCACAGAGGTGGTGTGGGAGATGGCAGCCTTGCACAGTTCTTCATCCAGTGTCCTGGCATGTGGGCTCTGCAGGAAGGACTGGCCCTTGAAAATTAAGTATCCTAGGAATTGATTGTATGCCAGCATCTCCAGTTTTTACTGTGTTTCGCAAGGCTTGATTTCTTATGTTTGAATATTTTAAAAGGTTAGAGACAAGAGGGTTGGTGTGTAAGGGGAAGCAGGAATGGCAATTACTGGCAGGGGATCACAAGGCCTGCTTGTTGACATCTATGCTGGGGTGACTCTTCTGCCTTCTTCCAAGTCTCCAAAATGCAGTGGGTTCTTTCTCTTGCCTTTCCATACAGATTAGTCACCCACAGACTTAGGAGTCGTGAGAATTACTGTCAGCTGCTCTTTATTGTAGATAAATGAAAGAAATCATTGAGTTGTTTTTTTTATGTGGTAGGGTAATTTGGAAAAAAAAAATAGGAATGATGTCCAGGGTGCTTGCTTGTGTAGCTTTATCAGAGGAAGAACTAACACTGCACGTTCAAAAAAAAAAAAAGGTTGATGGGTTGTTTGGGGTGAGGTTTTTGTGGTGGAATTTTTTTTTAGTTAGGTTAGTTGCTAAATAAATAAAAACTTAAAAGAGGAGGGGATGGAATGAGTGTGGCACATGATTGTGGATGGTTCTGTCGCCAGAGGAGAGATTAGAAAGCAAAGTCATCATTGCTGTATGTGGAAAGCATATCTCTTGGGCACTGCTCTCTAGAAAGTTGAAAGATTCCTGAGCTAATGTATTCATGCTGTTTGTTCACATGTTTGGATCTTGTTGGCTTCTCCTGTTAAATGTGGTTGCTGAAGGAAGCACGTGGCCAGATGGGAGCTGAGCAGGCCAGTGAGGCAGCTGCAGGCAGTGTTGGGGCAGAGGGCTGTGTGCACTCCCTCACTCCAGAAATGGGTGTTGAGAAGAGAGAAATTCTTTTGGGTTCAAAAGCTCACATTCCTTATGAGGAGAAAAAGCTCCAGGCAGGGTAGTTTCTATAACTTATTCTCGTTTATTTTAATAATGGATTTTGGAAGTTGTTCAAAGGTACTGGAGCCTTACAATAAGTCTTAGAGAAAATGTATTAGAGAATGGTAATGCAGTTCCAAATGTGTGATATAATTATTTAGTGCACTAATAAATCTGGTTATGACATGTGTAAGAGCTCCTCATTCAAGCTGTGTATATATCACCTTAAAGAGAAATGCAGTGCATCTGCATGTGTGCATGCAGACATATAACATGTTTGTTTCCTAAAATACTCACCTAAATTACTCCTTGTGGTTTTGGTTAGAGTTAGGATTCACATGGTGAAATGCCCATGCCTTCTCTTGCATTCTTCTCTTGCACCTCTCTGATTTACAAGGGGATCCTATTGTATTTCCAGGGGGTACGGAGAGCAAACTGCTGCTGATGCCTGTACATTCTCCCCCACAGAGACTTTGATGCACTGAACGAAGAGGACATTGTCAAAAACAACCAACTAGCATTTGATGTTGCTGAGCGGGAATTCGGAATCCCCCCTTTGACCACAGGGAAGGAGGTGGGGTCAGCTGAGGAGCCTGACAAGCTCAGCATGGTCATGTACCTCTCCAAATTTTATGAGCTGTTCAGGGGCACACCTCTGAGGACAGTAGGTAAGCAGAATCCAGACTGTTCCTTGTTCTCCCAAGTTTGGGAAGTGGGAGCACTTCATCTAAGCTGCTCACAAGCACTGCTTCTGAGCCAGCAGCCATTTCCCATTTGAGCCATTCTGGCACACAGGAATGTCTGCAATAATTACCTTGTGCTTAGAAAAGGAAAGGGGGAAGAACGTGATGGGACACCAAGGTTTTGCAGGTCCTTGATGGTTTCAGAGAAGAGAGGCAGTTGGGTAACTGCAGCTTGAAATCATTAAGTTTGTGTATGAGGTCATTAAGAATCATTCTCTGTTAAGGGTGACTGCCTATGTCATGTCTGTTCTGTGATTTTTTTGTTAGTTTGTTAAAAACTTACCCTGTATTGTATGCATTCTATTAGCCTGAGTTTCTCATACATAATTCTTATCATTATTCAACTGAAATGTAATGGCTTTGGCAAATTATTTTTTTTTTAATTGAATAACTATACTTCAGTCTTTTTTTTTTTCTAAACAGATGCTGGGGATAAGCAAAATGGAGAAAGTAATGAACTTTGTTCAGCAAAATCATCAAACTTCATCTTTAATAATTACATCAACTTAACTTTACCAAGGAAGCGAGTGCCAAAGGTAAACTGTGAAGAATGGTTTGCTCTATAAATCTTTGTGTTTTGAAGGTGGAAAATTAACTCCTGTGCTCATAAATAAGGATGAAGATTGGTGTGTACGTTAACGAAGTAAAATAAGATTTCAACAAAAGTTAACACACGTGAACGCTAAATCAGTATGATGTTTGTAATGATAAAACTGAAGCGTTGTCACTATCAAATGGCTGAAGCATGAATAAACCCAGTTAAGCATTCTCTGTAAATGCTGATACTCTAATCTTGGTGAGAACTTGTGTGTACTTCAGGAGATTTCATCATAAATCTCCATGTCAGTCTTCATTGGTAGGGGAGGAGGATGTTTTATTTGATGTGTTCCTAAGTTGTGGTTATCAACTCGAGATGTTGGAGTTCTTGGCTGCATTACCTGCAATGTTTCTTATGCTTTCTTTTTAGAAAGCTTTCTAGAGGTGTTTTTAAGAAGTCTGGCGTGGTGGTACATGCCACGTTTTGTAGTTTTACTGTTTTCTTTTGTTCTGGTTTTGTGGTGGTTTTGTTTTTGTTTTCTTTTCTTTTGATGGGGAAGTCTGAGATTTTGCTAGGCATGACTATTATTCCCTTTAAGAAAAATAGTATTGTAGCTTTATATTCCTAGGTTTAAATATATATTCATAATCTTATATACCAGTGATTATTTGAACAAATATATAAGAAGTCTTAGAAACTTTTTTGAGCAGTTGGTGGGTTCTGTCTATGTTCTTCAGGCGAGCCCTTCATGCCCCTCTAGATATTGAAGTCTGCAAGGGTGGCAAACAGTAGACATCTAACTAATATGACCCTGAGATAGTGATCTGTGCAGACATACCCATGTACTTTTCTCTGTGTCACTTACTAATGAAAACTTATTGACGTGCCCTGTTTATGTCCCTGTATGAAACACGTCAATGTCTATACATGTTGCAATTAAAGACTACAGTGCTTTGAAGAGGTACGGAGACCTGAGTTAATACTGTCTGACATAGGATTGTGTGCAGTGGGAGTATTGCCTTTGTATTTCTGAATGGACTATAACTTCAAAAGTTTTAAATTAGAAGTTACTGTAGTGAAATTATTCTGTAATAAACTGTTTCGCCCTCCGCTTATTCATTAATTTGGTCTTCTGCTGAAGGAAGACCTTGAGGAGGAGGGGTTTTGCTTTCACAGCCAAACGTAACTTCATTTTCAATGGGGAGTGACTGCCAAATCTAGCTCAGAGGCAGTAGTGTCTTGCTGAAATTAACCAGTGCTAGTTAGACAGCAGTGTGTGCTTCTCCACCAGAATGAGTTCAACTTGTGTTTTCTGAAGTACAGCTTTATGCAAAACTCTTCCAAGTTCTGAGTTTTCTAGGCTAGACAGAAATTTAAGTTGCTTTCTTTTGTTTGTTTTTACAGACCTCCTTAATACTTATCTTCATTGTTTCCTTTATGCCCTATGCAGTATTTGCCAAGTTTTGCCTGCGGAAACACAATTTTTCTACTCTTTTGAGTGTGGTGTCTTTAGTAAAAAATCAGGTGTATGTATATTAACTTCATGCCTCAATGTTTTTAATATGTTTCTTTTTGCGTTTGTGCTGTCTTACCTTCTTAGTTGTGGTAGAGATGTGGATTGTTTTTGTTTTGTTCTTTTTGGTTGCCTGAAAAACTACTTCAGAATTTCCAGATATTTCCTAGAGTTACTTACGTCTCAGATGTTTTCCATCCACAAACATACTTTCAAAACCCATGGACAGTCAGCTGCCCAGTAAGCTCATATATCCTTGTTAGGAAATAACTTTTCCCTGACATCCCTATACAGACAAAACAAAGTGGCATTTTTCCCATCTAACTAAGCACTGAGAAAATAAACAGGCAAAATAAACATTGCATTTTCTTATGGGTGACATCTTTAGAAGAAAAACTTTTTTTTTCCTGACCACAATGTTGTTATTTTTCTGAGTTATTTGCAGAAGTAACTAGTAGTAGTGGGGAAATCTTTCCATTACTGAGGCATACAGCCCTCTGACTAACCTCTCATTGTAAAACATGCCTTCTGTCTAACAGGAGGTGAGTTTCTTGGCACTACATGAAAGCATGAGGTGATTTGCTTGATGGACCCCTTCAGTTTTACGCTGAAGGGGCTTGTTTAAACAGAGAAGGGGAAGCAATATTTTGCAAATCAGCTTGAGGAGCGAGACTATCAGGAGCATTTACTTTATGTGAGGCCTTACAGCTTCGTCATGGGTGGCACAGGAAGCTTAACAAGAAATACACTGCTCAGGCTGGGACAGAAATTTGCAAAGACTGTAACAGTGGGAAACTAGCTAGCTGGGAAATGGGACTTCTTGGAGAGTAACCACTTGAGTAAGAGTTTGGCTGTCTCTTCAGTTTTGTGGCTCTTTCCCCTGTGCAAAGTAGTGTTGAGTGTTATCCAGGTATGACAGTAGTAAAGCATTTACATATCACAAAATCAGAAACCATCTGGAGCACTGTAATATCTCTTCCTGAGCTCTGTACCATCCAGTTTGTCCTTTTATTTGGCTAGACAGGGGATCTTTATCTGGGCACAACTGGTGAGAGACCAGGAGGTGCCTGGCTCTGACGTGACTGTTGCTGGCAGCATTGGGCTAGACTGAGTAGTGTTTCCCATTTTTCTTCCTGTGTCAACGGAGCTCAAATGGAACTTGAGATTTCCTGTACTCCAGACTAAGAAATGAATTGAGGTGTTTATGCAGCGAAGAGTATGATCTATCTTGGAGTTTTGTTAGGCAATTAAATTGCTTTGTTTTTCACTTCTTTGTAACAAAAGTCCTTTATGTGGATTCTGAAAGGCAACATCTTGTTTGCTTCGTTCACTTAGGCAAACTCTGCTTTTATGTGGTATAGATTATTATGCAGAATATGCTGTTGTTCGCTCTTGCTTGGTAGACTAATGATTCTAAGTATTGTAAAACTGGATTACTGAAAGCTGGTGCTTGGAAGACAAAGTACCAAAGCATATGGAGTAATCAAAATAGTGTCATTTCTTTTGGTGTTTGCCCAGAAGTTGTTTGGGATTATTTTTATTCACTCCATAATGACTTACTATAAACACGGCATATATATAAAAGAAAACTGTATTCTTTGATCCATCTCTTTATTCTTTTTTTCTTTCTCCAAATTGAATGAGCAATCTGTGGGTTACTGTGTGGGCAAATACAAATAAATGCAATATAGTTCACTGTTCATAAAGTAGAGGCAAAGACGATGTTTACAAGACAAAGTCTCTCCATAACCTGACTAGATAAATTGTCAGCTCTTTAAGAATGAATTCAATAAAAAATGATGCAAATATTTATTAACTATTTTTGCAAATTTGGGCAGTCTGAGGCATGAAATATTGTTTGTGTCATGTCCAGTAAAATAACTGAGTACATGCGTAGCTTGAGAACAAAATAGGCTGTTTAGTTGCTTAAATACCACTGTGTAAGTCCATAATGGGGAAGGTGAACCCTAGAAGGGAGAAAGAGGCAGACAATAATTGCTCAGGCTGGAGAAGAGAAGGCTCTGGGGAGACCTGATAGCAACCGTTCAGTATCTAAAGAGGAGCTAAAAGAAAGAAGGGGAAAGACTCTTTATCAGAGTCTGTTGTGATAGGAGAAGGGGAGATGGTCTCAAACTGAAAGAAGGGAGATTTAGACTGGATATAAGAAAAAAATATTTTTACAGTAAGGGTAGTGAAGCACTGGAACAGGTTGCCCAGAGAAGGTGGTGGGTGTTCTGTCCCTGGAGATATTCAAGGTCTGCTGGGAAGGGGCTCTGACCAACCTCAGCAAGCTGTAGATCTCCCTTTACATTGTGGGGGAGGGGAGTTGGTCTAAATGAACTTTAAGGGTTGATTTCAACTCAGATGATTCTGTGAAAGAAAGGAATATGTCTGCACCATGAATGCATGTTCTGCATATGAAAATCTAGACTGAAGGAGATGGAGATCTGTAGTGGAAGAATTTCCTTGGGTTGTGCTGTTCATCTGGAAACCAGTGTCATCTAGATTAAAATTCACAGAATGACTGATGCTCTAATGCCTTTTTTTTTTTGTTTGTTTGTTTTCCAAGAACATGCTAGTGCTTTATGAATTACAAACTCGTTAGTGCTGAAGGAAGCAGGTAAACAAGGAGTTGCAGGTCCCCTGTTGAACAAGGTTTATGCATTTTCTCCATCAGAGTTGAGTAAGAGCTCCCAGTCAGGGGCTCCTGTGCTGCTGATAAACATGCCAGCAGGACTTCTCATGTGTGGAATGATCCTGCTGAGCTGGAGGAGAGTGATAACGAGTGCTGTGCTTGCACCACTCACCCATAGTCATGTTATTTAACAGAGGCCAGACCACACTTACCTGGTAATGGAAGCTAGTGTTGTGGGAGGAATGGATTAAGTCAATTTCATAACTTCTGTAGTAATCCAGATATTTTGTTTTGGCTTTCCTGTTTCAGGTTGAAGGGAAAACAGAAGAAAACGAGACTAACAAAAGACGTCGCAAAGGTCTTTTTGGTGTCTTTGAGGAGGTTGGTGTTAAGCAGTGTCAGCACCTATCCAGCTCATTGCAAAGCACCAGAACTGAAGAGGCAGTGGGAGTTATTAAAAGGATGGGGCTTGGACTGTTATGCTTAGTGGGAACAAAAACCCTGTCACCTGAAAACTTGAATTCACTGTTCTGTGCACTGAAGAGCAGCTACATTTATTTAAATTGTTTGATAGAAATAAGAGCTTTAGGTCAATCACACTAATTCATTTTCTTTCTGACACTAGAATATTAATGTATAAGGTTTTTTCCTTTTTGCAATTCAGTTACTTAAACATTTTTTGTCTGTGTTTGAAGAACTTGTGTTGTAGCTTGATTGCTGCTCTCTCTCTCAGACTGGTAACCTTTGTGACTGCTTTGTGATCACCAGAATTGATTTGTGTTCCCTATTTACTGACCTCTGGGAATTTTGCATGCTAAGCAGTGTCAGTTTTAAGATACTGTAGATTCTTTGCTGGTTAGGATGTTGTTTTCTCTCTTCATTAATGTCATTACTATACTTGAGAAAAACAATTTGTTCTTTTATTGCAGGCCTCAGGATTTTCAAGCCAGGGGACGAGTGCTGGGAAAGAACAGAATGATGGCAGAGAAGGAATAAATCAGAATAAAGTTAAATCAATGGCAACTCAACTGTTGGCAAAGTTTGAAGAGAATGCTCCAAATACAATTTTTCGGAGGCAGGTAGGTCATAAATGAACATCAAAGTCACCTCTGAAATTAAACAGTAGTCCCTCCTTATAAGTGTGATGCAGATTGGGGGGGGGGGAGTGGATCTATTAGATGTTTGAAGTGGGTTTTCTTTCTTTCATGTTTTAAATTCTTTATGCATATTTAAGAGTATTCCTCTTAGTAATTAGGGAATAAACATGAGTAAGTAATATGGAGATATTATACCCTATATTATAGGGTATATTAATATCATATAGTGAAATTTCAGAGTCTGGAAATCTTCTGTAGAGCAGTCTAGAAATTTAATTTGTACAGAAGTCTCTTGGGCTGTGTATGATATCACAACAGATTTTTTTGCCTGTATTTTGTGAGTACAGAGTACTAAATGTCTTTGTGAAAAATTTATGGAAAGATTAAGAAGGGTACATAATCTTTTTGAAAGATGTGTGTAGCTTTCTTCTCTACTTGTATTAGGGATAGTGAAATATATTTGAACATGTCACAATATTTTCATAAATACTGTAATCCCAGCAAATAATCCCAGGCTTTCAAGGTAATGATGGCAGTCTCAAAATCACTCTTAAGTCAGCAAGATGGCTTCATGAATCAGCTGAATTCAAACCTGATACCTAAAAAGAAGTCTGAAGAAAGGATATGCACAGTGTCCAAGAGCTGTCAAGGCTGGTAGCTTTCTTAATTTTGTGCTTTATTAATTTGAATATTTAAGTCTTCGAGAAGTGCAGTCTTCATAGTTGTCAGGTGACTTTGATAGTCAACCACTGCTGTCTGCATTCTTCCCAGCTACCATGTCAGCGCCCTGAAATTGTGATACCTGTACAGAGCTTTGCTTGTTCATGTTCAAGGAAGCCTTGATGCATTTACCCAAGATTAACACTATAGACTTAGGGCAGAGTGGCTGGAAGACTTTCTAGAGGAAATGGACATGGGAGTATTGATGGATACCTGGCTGAACATGAGGCAGCAGTGTGCTTGGGTGGCCAAGAAGGCCAATGGCATCATGGCTTTTATCAGAAATAGTGTTGCCAGCAGGAGCAGGGATGTGATCATCCCTCTGTACTCAGCAGTGGTGAGGTTGCACCTTCAGTACTGTGTTCAGTTTTGGGCCCCTCTCTACAAGAAAGACACTGAGGCTTAATAGGTTAAAGGTTAGTAAAATGAGTTGGGGACAAAAATTTGCAAAACACATTGATGAAGCTCTGTAGTAGTATCTCTTTAAAAGCAACTTTCTTTCTTCTTCGCAATATCTTGGAATCCTATTTACTATCTTCCTCTTTTTTTTTCCACTCTGTCTTTATAATTTAAAAAAATGATGCAAGGAGCAAATAGATAGACCAGCACAGCTCTCTTCTGACTCTCCTGTTAATCCTCGTTTTGCTCAACCTAAAGATCCAAGTCTTCTTCTACCTCAACCAAAAAGGCAGGTAGGAACTCATGTGGGTAACATTTGACAAGCGTACCGTTCTTCTCTCTGCTGAGGACTTGTCTATATAAATATAAATATATATATATATATATAAATACTTAGCAAGTATAACACTTAGCTAAGCTTACTATTTAGCTAAGATTTATGAAAACTACTGTAAAGTTCAGTGCTTTTTTAGACCTGCTTGACCAGATGAGAAAACTTCTGGAAAGAATCAGTATCTGCATGGAAAGAACTTGGACAACCTCTAGGTGTTGACTGATGTATAATCACACCTGGACTTTAAACTATCATTGCATATCTGCATTTAGCATGCAAGAAAAGCACAACAGTAACTGAAAAAATTCTGTGTATGTACATGATGCTTTGTGCTGTTTCCACTCTGAGAAAACTGGCAGTATATATAAGATAAAGGCTTGAGCATTGAAAATCTGATTTTAATGACCAGGTTTTCTACTTCTTTAAGTAGAACCTGTGAGAAATACTGCTAGAAGCTCTTTTGCAGCATCATATACGTGGAGTGAAATTTTTGAGTATTTGGTTTAATTCACTTTCTGTTAGAATTTTCAATGTTAGTAAATATTCTGTAGTGATCTTCCAAGAATAGTCTGCAGCAAAATGGGATCTGAATTGCATTGGAATTCTTCAGGGCAGCTTGAAGAAAAATGCACATTCCAAGTCTCCAGTGACTGGAAGAAGGGAAACATCACTATCTTTTATAAGAAAGGGATGAAGGAGAACCCAGGGAACTAGTGAGCCTCATCTCTGTGCCTAGGAAGATCATGGAACAGATCCTCCTGGAAGACATTCATAAACAAGTTGTGAATTGATTATTTTTAAGGGAGATGTGCTGTTCTTTAACATTGGGAGCACACTGTACACTGATTGGGATTAGCGTTTTTTAATTTTAATTCTGAGAAGTTTGGAAAGTTTGTATAATTTCTTTGAATTGGGCAGATGGAATGAAGTAGAAAACTATCATGAAAAGACCAACTGGAAAGTTATTAAGACTGAATTTGACAAAGCTGAACTGATTGAGTTCAATTGCTTCAAAAGCTCTTTCATATGAAGTTTAAAAATCAGAGACCCATTCTGAGCTCCTCAGAAAATGCTTCAAATCTGAAAAATATTACATCTTGTCTTGTCACGTTAGATCTAGCATTATGCCAAGGTCTACTGCTGGTGTTTTTACAATTTCATTCCCTGGTTTCAGGCAGATATGATGCTAAAAAAAATCTTGACTGAAACAAAAGCAAAACGAGAAGGAGACACATTGTCATGTTCTCCACTGATGCTGTGTGAGGTTATTGGTTTAAAAACTGGGATAAACTTAGGGGAGGATGTCAGCGCTTTCATAAGTGGCACTGATGTGTTTCTGTGCATGGACATAAGCAGTAGGTATGCAATAAGTAGTGGAGAGAGATTGCTGTGAGATCCAGGAGAGCATTTCATTTCTAATTCCGTGCATGACTGCGCTGTGTTTTCGTAAGCATCTTTAAAAACTGAATGTGCTGCATGGTAGTGTAGAAGGGAGACTTTTTTTTCACTTGAAGTGTTTCCCAGTTTCAGGTGGTAGCTAGACCTGAACAGGAGGTAAGGGAAACCAAACAGTCCTTAGATGGTTCTGATCATATGGCCAGGAGACCAAAGGCTATAGAAAAAACAAATATCCAGCGCAGTCTGTCAGAAACATCTGAAAATCTTGCATCTGCCTGTTCTGCTGCATTTGTACTTTCTGGAGTGCTTGAACGTCTTCAGCACCTGGACGAAAAAATGAAACAGGTGATAAGCAATTACTTTTCCTTTCTGTCTCTTAACCACATGTATTAATCTGCGTGCTGCATTTTCCCTGGGTATGCTTGCTTTTATCTGTTCATTTCGGGTTACATTAAGATAATTAAAATACTTTCTGCATACTTGCTGTATTCTGATGATATTTGTGTCGTTAACTGAAATCTCTCTCTCTTTCTTTCCCTGGCTTTCCTTTCCTGGCTCTTACTGCAGAAAAGAGCTCAGACCATAGCAAATAGAGAATTCCATAAAAAGAACATTAAAGAGAAAGCAGCACATCTTGCCTCACTGTTTGGATACATGGATTTTCCAAAGGTGAATATTAGGTTTTGTACCTGCAGAATTGCTGAGTTAGAAGTGTGATCTTAGAATACTTGGGTTAAAAAAAAAAAAAAAAGCCATGATTTTGCTTCTAACCTTCCATTCATCTTGAGTAGGTCTGATAAGTCATTTGGACTCCATTGGATTTGGTAAAAATGTTAGTTTAAATATTATTGCATAATTTAATTGAGGTAAAACACAATGGTAATCATAAAGCTGGTCAGAGTACCTTAGCATAAAATAAATGTCTTGGCGTGGTTTATTCTTTGTGTTTACAAATATACACTATTATCTCACTGTTTCTAATGAATTGGTGAGCAGTAGCTCTCAGTCAGTAAAATTTGGCATGTAGCATTTCTTTTAATGCTTTCTTATTGCCCATTGTAATTACTTTTAGAAGAAAGCTGAGTATAATAATACCATCTGAGATGAAGGTTTTGTCACAGTGATTTCAATGTCTCCTCACTATGCAGAAATAGAGAATGGTGCAAAGTTGTAGTTATCTTTTTTTTCTTGTGCATGACTGTGAAGTTATTCTCTTAACCTGTGCTAATGTCACTCTCTCTTGGATAACTCTCCTCTGTTTCTGCTCTACACAGAATAAGCTGCCTACTAAAGGCTTATCCCATTCTCAGCCCCCAACTCCCTCTTGCCCTCCACCTCATGATTCAGCTGCTGCCTCTTCTCCATCATCTGTAGGTTCAGCTTCCCCTGTTCTTCCTTCTAGACAGGTACTCTATTAACAGATTTTTCCTGTAAAAATCCAAACTTGTGGTAAGGCTGTTTGAGAAATGGCTTGGATGAAAAGTGCTGCCTTTGCACGGTGGATCTATTCTATAGTTTGTATTTCACATTAGAATTAAACCTCAGTTTTCTTTACCATGGTGAATTCTGCATGTTTGTAAGAGGAAAGTCACCAATTGTTTTGGCTGTAAAGCTAAAGAATAGAACAAGTAATTGATAAAGTTCTGGCTTAAATTCTGAATTTTTGGTATTGATGTTTAATTTCAGTGTTCCGTTGTTAGGTAACACCACAGAAATGCCTAATGGAGAGAGTTTCACATAGTGTATCTGGATGTTAGGGGATTAGTTAGCTGTGCTGGGTGGGTATTTGTCTTTATAAGATTATCAGTTGGGTCCACAGGGAAGAAACTGGGTGATAATGGTTATTTTAAATAGGGGATGTGTGTTAATACAACCAGACTTCACGTTTTGTTTGTTTACTTATTTGTACTTTAAAACTCACTTCTGCATGTTAATTGCTAGAACTCAGTTCTTTGCAATGCAAGCTTCATGCAGGGGAAACCAGCATAGACTTATTGAAAGCAATTTGGTAACATGTGAATAAGAGATATTCAGCTGTTACTGCTTATGCTAGTTTTAAAATGTGCTTTTGTCTGTGGAAGGTGAGATGACATCAGCTTCCAACTCTTCTGCCTTAGAAATGTTTTAATTG